AGGAGGGGGCACAGAAATCTGTGGCCCGATAGAACTAGGCTGTTCAAAAGGAAACGGGCACAGGAATCTGTGGCCCGATAGAATTAGGCTGTTCAAAAGGAAACGGGGGCACAGGAATCTGTGGCCCGATAGAACTAGGCTGTTCAAAAGGAAACAGGGGCACAGGAATCTGTGGCCCGATAGAACTAGGCTGTTCAAAAGGAAACGGGGGCACAGGAATCTGTGGCCCGATAGAACTAGCAAGAGCGAAAGGAGGAGGACTCTTAACGCGCTTTGATCTACTTTAAATCCTTGTTCGAACAACAGATCTGCTACCTCTGTCCAACATTCTCCCCCTCTCCTTCAAACCTTTCTTGTAGGAAAACAGGTTTGTGGAGGCTACTTACATGTACATGTATGTTATGCACCTCAACCCAGTCTACAAGTAAAGTGAGAAAGTCAGTATTCAGCCATCTTACTTAATAGTCTTGTATGTGAGTTCTTGGAAAATTTCTGAAGCTTTCCTCTGTTGGTAGTCTGGTATGTGTATCTGCATATAGACATAATGGCACAATCTATAAATAAACAAACACCAACAAACACAAAGTCATCATATCCTTTTTGTGATATGTAGTATTATGTATACTACACGAATTAGTGCATGAAACAAGGAAAAACTTATAGGAATTTTATAAGTTTCAAAGTTTTATTTACACACCGCTCTTACTCATTCCTTGACCGATCTAGGCTAGACCGATCCAGTGGATTAGTAACAGCCAAAACTTTATAACAAAAATTTTCAATTCAAGCAATCACGACTTTATCCTGTTAAATCATATAAAGTAACAACAAACAAAAATACTGAAAACATCCATACCCATTCTCTGTGTCACTGATGCCTATTATGTCACCCTGATCTTCTGTTAATACCGACATCTCCACACAAGTTGAGGGAATCGAAGAAAGTCGTCTTTCCTCTTTAATATGGTCCGTTATCGTAACTTTCTTACTTTTTGATGGCTGCCTCGCCCCAAAGTATCACCTCCATACTGCTGCCACCCCCTTCGATCTGAATTGTCCAGAGTCCTTATGCATCCTCCTACCTAAATATATATCAAGATGAATATTAAAAACGAATTAAGATGAAAATAATACTTTAATCCACATTATTTAACAACATTTATAACTGAATACCTCCACACAATTTTTACCACAACATTTTACAACAGCAAAATACTAACCTCAATGATGTTTCCTTCTACCGTCAAACGCCTTTTTATTGCACTCCTTCACCTGAAAGTGTCAACCAACTCTTCGTTAAAACCTACTTGTCAAACCATTCAGTGTCTCTCGCATGAAAGCATATTACCCACTTGATTTTGTTCCTGTTGGAAGGGCATTTCTTTTCCTTTTGTTTCCCCTTCTCCTCCTGTTTGCTATCCATTTCTAGATATTGTCAGTAATACTTCTCATCCGGTCCAAAAGTTGGACATAAAGACCAATACCACAGTTTCCATTCTCATGTAAGGGGTCCATATTGTCAAAGTATTCAGTGAACTGCTCTGGCAGGTCCAAAATGATCTGTGGCACCTGGGCATTGTTGTTTGTTTGAATATCCGTAACTGGCCCATCCATATCAATCCAAAGAGTGTTCACAGCATCATGTGCCAATCTTTCATAGGTGTTCTGTAAGATACCTTGGTGCCACAATGCCATTGGTGACTGATTGTTCATGGTCCTGAGTCCATGATGGTTCCATGTAGAAACAAACTGATCCAAGGACTGTTGGATTCGAGGCAAGAAAACTCTATGCAAACAGAGTAAATGTGTTTTGTTTCTTTGAATGAGGATACCACTATCCTCCATATATTGAAACAATACTTTATAAAATGAAGCAATCACTCAATTTGTTTCACCCCATAGTCTCTCTATTCTCTGGTTGTGAACACTTCGTCCGGTTATAAAACTACCTCGACCGGGGCATCTGTTGTCTATCATAAACCGTGCCACGTCCACATTTTCCATCCCATGGTCAGCACTTACCCTTGAAGGTATTCCAAGGGTGGTGGCCAATTCCACACTGCCATCTTCATGAATTGATACCATCTTCATTTCTGATATCAATTCTTGTTTGTTTTCTACACAAAAACACAAAAAGAAAATCATATTGTAACCAGCTATACTTACTGTAGTACTTGACAGGTTGTGTTGTTCGTAGCAACTTTCAAGTATGTTAGGTATTATGATACAGTAGCTCTGCTTGCTCCATCAATGCAGCCATACAAAATAAACCGCCACATGAGAAATTAGTCATGAAATATTTTGGTTTCCAGTTTATTTGCTCCCTCTTCATCCAATCTTGTATGGTCTCCAGTCCTTGCTTAATAGAAGCCTTTGTCTCATATTGGACCGCAAACTCTGCCACCAAACTGTATCCGCAGAACATGCAATTTATTTCTGTACTCGTCAATTAGGATACTCCTCTCCCAGTCTGAAAAATTTGACTTCCTTTTTGTTGCAAAATCCATATCGATCAGGATAATGATGTATCTCCAAACCTGAATCGTACCATAAGATGATTATTATTTTAAGACGTCATAATATTTGTGGCATGTAATACAGCTCTGAAAATCACTCACTAATGAAACGTTCTTTACAATGGCAACATTTGTGGCTCCCTCAGCTTGTCACTGTAGTTATAACGAAACTTAACACTGTTGGGCTGCTCCGTCTCATAGACGAGATGCTTGATCTTCGTCCAAGACACCTTTTCTCCAGCTACATCTTTTGAAGTATTAGGCATGATGTTCTCTTGAGGAGATATAAAGTCAAGAGATTCATTGTACTTGAGCTGCTGAACTTGGTATGGTTGTGGTTGAGCTACATCATGAAAATTGTCTTGATTAGTGTCATCGTGCAGTTGTTGTTCAGCAATGTCCAATTCTTTTGCATGTTGATTATACTCCATGCGTTTTTCTTCTATTACTTCTTTGACCATTTGGTATCTTTCCTCATATGTTTGGCAGTTGTCAAGAATTTCACTCTCACTGATGTATGGGTAAAACAACATTAGATTTTCTCTGTAGTAATTTTTAGGATCCTTTTCTTTGTTATATCTAACATAGCGAATCACTTTTTGCTTCTTTCTTCGCTTCATTACCACCGAGTTTGTGATTTTCAATTCACTGAGACATGATTGTTTATCCTGATACAGATCATCAGAGTTATCCAGCTCATCAGAGTTATCCAGCTCATCTTCTATGTTATCGTCACTGTCTGATTCGGGAAGTTCATGTTCATGCATTTTTCTTTTCTTCTTGAACTGGATTTGTTTCATGTCGTACCATGCAATGAAATCTGCTAAGCACATGTGCCTGGCTTTTCTTGGCCTTTCTGAATATCTCTTAATGTCATTGCTGCACTGAATGTCTTCACTATCTTCAGGCAAAGAATTAAGTTGTTCTGAAGGCTCAAGGATGAAAGGCCTCTGATCTGGAGGTGAAGTGTTAATGAATGCATGTGCACATGATGAATGCTTCAGTGGCATTTGTAGAGTAAGATATATTGACTCAGGTGCACTGATCTCAACATGTTTAAGGAACTTGTTTCCAATCAAACAAACTTGATCTTTGATATCAGATGATCCTTTTCTGGCTTCATCACAGGTTCGTCTCAAGAGTTCACTCATGCCTCTTTGGCCTTTGGAAACATAGTTCACAACATACATTGCACAAGCATATGCATTGATAATAAATTGTATGTCTGTGTTTTCTTGCCATGCCTGCAGAACAGGAGGGTTGTAGGCATTAACACGGACATTGCATGGATCACGTTTGATAAACACCTTTGGTCCAGCAAGAGTACTTCTGATTGGAAGCTCATAAACATCATATGAAATGTCTAAATGATCAAGAAAAACTTGAAAAGTCAATTCACATACTTCAGGTTTGCCTAGTTCAGTCTGTATTTCTTTCCATTTCTGTTTGTGCAATTGCTTTTCTTTGTCTTCCATGTCAACTGGAAGAGGTTCTAGGATCTTGGTGCACTGCATAGGGGGCAATGGGAATTTGAACCTGCATACACTGTACCTTGCCCTTGTGTGTCTGTGATATTGTAGTTTTGTCAATTTATCACTAACACCTGGGCTTTGCCTATCAGTGGTAATGTAGTTGTCAATGTATGTTTCAATGGTTGAATTTGAGTCTACCTCAAATTTAGGGGCCTCATCCACCCACAAGATACTATGCATGTGGGCTGATCTGCGATGTTGAAATTCAATGCGATAGTATCTGTCGCTATTGCATGGAAAGGTAGAAGCTACAAAAATGAACAAGTCGTGTATCATTTGATATACATGTACATGTACAAGTCAAATATTTTATGGAGATTTCATCATTTGAATTAAACAAAGAATACATACTGAGATAACCATAACTGTGCTTGAAATATTGTGGGGATGGAGGAAAAATTATATGAACTTTACCTATATACATAGATCATATTTATGACACATCAAGCTAAAGAGATTTTAAAAAATCATATAAAAGACGATTGGAAAGTTGAGCAAATTAACCTCCGTGTCTAAAGCACACTGCAGAGTTAATTTCATATAAAACATGCATGTTCAGTTAACTTTGCGTAAGTCGAATCTGTAAAAATAGTTCAACTTATGCAGAAATTTAAAACATGTTTTTTATTGTTTGGTAAAAAAAATTGATTCAAGTTGGGGAAAGTTTGACTTATGCAGCTTTTAGTTATGCAAAGTTAACTGTACTTCACTACATGATACAGGCATACTTACAGGTTTTCCTGTTGGTGGGGTTGGTGGGGGAGCTGTCGTTGGGGTACGTACTTCTTCCGAATTTTCTTCCCTAATTTTGTGGCCAACATCCTCCAACAAGTAGGGGGTGTTGACCGACGCTCCCGGGAAAACAGGCAAGTACGGTGAGTCGGTCTCCAAGAGGAGCCGGGGGAGGGAATACTACGGATCATGTCCACTTGGGCCGCATTAAATGAAAGGGCTAGGCCCGACACCCCGACGTACACATTCTGAAAGGCATCCATGCATCCAGCTCTTGAGCGTCACCAGTGAAATTGTGGATGTGGATGTGCTGGTGACGCCCACAGTACTGCCTCAGAAGGTCCCTGAACTCTCTGTGCAGGTGATGGCCATACGGATCGCCCTGGGCTGGTCGTAGGTGTAGAACCAGTACCATATTGCGGCAACCCACACCCAGAACCCTTCTTACAAAAGCCCACTGCCTGGGCCACTCGGCCTGGGATACACAAAAATAATCAATACCCAGTTCACTTACTGCGGTAACCCGGGGACATGCAAAGAGGCACTCCAACTTATCCCAGCCGTCATCCGTTAGCATAGAAACACACTTAGGATGAACCCTGACGGCTATATGAAAATGGAAGAGAAGTGGAATAAAACGAAGTGCCCGGTCGAAATGCTGCGGGTCGCAGAAATTCACTACCCCACCAACATGCTTCATACCTGATCTAGGATAGGAATCCTGATCACCTTTCCTTGCGATAGCATCAATCATTTGGTACAAGTGAACATGACTGTCAAAGCCATTCACAAGGACTAAAGAGGGATGAACCGACACCATGTCCTCGCGGACCAGCTGACCAAAAAATAGCCATACCCATTCTCAGTGTCACCGATGCCTATTATGTCACCCTGGTCTTCTGTTAATGAGGACATTTCTAATTGAACATGTCAAAGACTAAACATATATATTGACACAACCATCAACAAAACATTCTATCAAACGTACATGGGTCTGTCCATGAAGTTGGGGCAAAAAGTGTGACATGAGGGTCAATTTTTTAAAATTGCACAACTAATTTTGTTTTATCATTATTAGGTTGCCCATTTCCCATAGTTTTAGAAGAAAGGAAAGAAAAAGTGGTTCAGAGGTTCTGGAAACATCACATGCACATGATCCACTGGAGCATTCAAGTAGAAATACCGCCACTACATAGACACACTTTAAGTTACCATGACACAACAATTGTACATTTATGTGTCATGATTTTATATTTTTGTCTTAGTATTCAGCATTGATTGATGATATGGAGTTAATCTTTGGATTGTTTCACTGTAGGAAAAAAAACAGACATTTCATTTTCAAATAATAACTCAATAATCTATCAGTATATTTGAAGATTTGAATGATTTTATTTTCAATCACATTAAAGTGAATAAAAGTTTGGGTAACTAATTTATTAGTTACATTTTTAATGCATCTCAAACATTAAACATTGCTAGAGCAATGAAAATGCCCTAAGAACACGACATAAACAGTGTATGGGCGGATATTTCCATGCTTTGTATTAAAACAAATACCTTGTATTTTTTTGTACCGCCACTTCATGGACACCGGGTCCACGTAGTGGCGGTAAATCTACACTTGTTACTCTCCATTTGGAACCTTTAAACTTTTCCCTTCACAAGGTGAGTTTAATTCGTAAAAAGAATATGAATCAACATTGAATACAATATTTTAGTGTACCTAATTGGTATTTGTACCTATTTTATAAGTAATATAAAACAAACAGACAAATTTTAAGAAATGTTTAAGAAATTTTAATTCCTTAGGTTGCAACAGATACACAAGTGTTATGATTAACTGCCTTTTCATGAGTTGTAGAATAATTGATTTGAGATTTACCTCTGTATCTGTTGGAATAAACTTGACTGCCCCAATTGTTTTGTTTAATAGAGTTACTCCCATGTGTAAAGTACCGACGCTACATGGACACCGTGTCATTCTGGCTTGTTTGACAATTTAAAGAAAATTGTTTTAAGTAAGCAAGCATAACCTTTATGAAATTTCAGTTATTGTACAATGCTTAATGCATATACTCTGTGTCATTTATTTCAGATGATACCATTTATTATTGTTATTCTTTACCTTTTTGTATTAAATTATCTCAATATATGTTTATTTTTATTACTTTTGTAATACAAACAGAATGTGGATTTTAATAAGTGATATTAATAATTTTAATACACTTTACACTGAGCAATAACAGTTTTCAATTGTTTTTTTATTTTTGTAATTACGAGTACCTCCGGTACGCTGGTGAGCAGGTAGTCTTGTTTCAAGCATCCATCACGCCCGCAGCAACTTTACATGCAACATTTCCAAAGTTAATAATGAAATTAAAATCTAAATTCAAATAGAGTACCGAAGTGTGACGTCATCAAAAAAATAGATTTTGCATTTCATCATTATCCCACCAAATTGGGCTGTGGATGTTTTTAATCATGCTCCGCCGAGATATGATATCCAAAACGATGAATTGAAAAAGAAAAAAAAATTGCGACGTCATCACTTCGGTACTCTATAACATGCAACACTTTTTTGAGCTCTACAGGTAAACAAGTCTATCACTTCAGTGGTTAAACTCTGTGTTTCAAAACACTTTGTCTTTATTTGATGGTTAATTAGGTTCAAAACTTCATACATTGGGTAAGAAGACACATTTCATTAGGACTTATATAAATTCAACAAATACATGTAGATGTCTTTTTAAAGGTTAAACAAGTCTAACACTGTATGACTATTCACTAGAGTGGAATAACAGATTTAAAACTGAGAAATGTGTAATAAGTAAATTCCAATCACATTTAAATTCATTCTAGATTTAAAACTGAGAAATGTGTAATAAGTAAATTCCAATCACATTTAAATTCATTCAAGATAATGTGTATATACTTTTGTTCAACACTTTTTGAAACTCTTCAGGTAAACAAGTTCAACACTTTTAAGCATGCACAAAGCTAGAGGAACTGATGCCTAACCCAGTACCTTCGTATGAAGTTCAATTTGCTTCATCTCTTCACATCAAATGAGATAAATGCATGAAATATAACGTATGTCTCACTTTTTGAAACTCTTCAGGTAAACAAGTTCAACACTTTAACAAAGCTAGAGGAACTGATGCCTAACCCAGTACCTTCGTATGAAGTTCAATTTGCATCAAATATAATGTATGTCTACACTTCTTGGAACTCTTCAGGTAAACAAGTTCAACACTTTTAAGCATACACAAAGCTAGAGGAACTGATGCCTAACCCAGTACCTTAGTATGAAGTTCAATTTGCTTCATCTCTTTACATCAAATGAGATAAATGCATGAAATATAACGTATGTCTACACTTTTTGAAACTCTTCAGGTAAACAAGTTCAACACTTTAACAAAGCTAGAGGAACTGATGCCTAACCCAGTACCTTCGTATGAAGTTCAATTTGCTTCACCTCTTCACATCAAATGAGATAAATGCATGAAATATAACGTATGTCTACACATTTTGAAACTCTTCAGGTAAAGGGAGTATCTCACTGAGAGGCGCATGCTTGCGAACCGTTGCGAATGAGCACAGTGCCATACATAGAGTATAGCCAAATCCGTAAACAGTAGGTATCAACATGGTGCATTTTCTTTTGTACTGCTTTGTTAGGCAAGCACATTACAAAAGAATATGCGCCATATTGATACCTACTGAACAAGGGTAGGCTAGACTCTCTCTATATATGGCACTGTGCTAATTCGTAACCGTTCGCAAGCATTCGCCTCTCAGTGAGATGGCAAAACTTTATGCCTCGAAATCTAAAGCCCTGATTTGGATGTCAATACGATTTAGCTCCTCATCTGCCCATCGCCGCAGCCCTCTCGATGACACAGTGGGAGGAGAAATTGGGAGGACTTTGTCGATTCTCAGCCAAGACGAATCTACCTCAGTGGGCCATATGTAGTAGTCAGCACCTGAATCAACAAAAAAAGAAAAAAAAGAAACGAAAAAGAAGTTGATGATAATTATAAAGAAAATTATTAATCAAGCACATAATTTAATACAGTGGAAGCAACCTTGGAAGTCCTTGGGACAAGAGAAATTACCTTTTTATATCAAAACTGTGTTATTGAGCGATAAAATTAAATAGAATACAAAGAGATTAAACCTGGAAAATTCACCTTGTTATAATGAGAAGTTTGATATATCGGGGCTCTTTATAATAAGGTTCCACTGTATTTATCCTGGCAAAAATGAACATGGTTGGAAACAACTGATGATCTGATTTTACCTGGTGGTCGGTGCAAAAAACGGACGTCCCCTTCATCTCCGTCAACTTGTGTGATAAGCCCTGCATACCACTTCTGTCTGCCTGCCTTCACTGCGACAAAGCTGCCAACTTTGATGTCCATTCTCGTTTCCGTGTCCTTTCTTGCTTCCTGCTCCATTCTTCCTTCCTGCTCCATTCTTCCTTCAGTGTCCTTTCTTGCTTCCTGCTCCCGTTTCCCTTCAGGATCATTTCTTGATTCTGGGTTGGGTTGGGTTTAAAAACAGAGACAGAAATTTATAAAAAAATAAGAGAAATTATCATTGGTTTACAAGAATACAATGGCCAGTAGTTATTGCAATGAAGATGATTTTCAGCTTTAATATGATCACAATGTGAAATTTGGACAAAATACATAATGTAACCTAATTATACAAAAGGTTCTGGGGACCAAGGAATTGCCTTATGTTGAAACCTTGTTATATCATGTGTTAAAATATATATACTACAAAAAACTTGAACTTGTTTTGACAAGTTTGTTATAACCTTTTTATTTTATAGGATACAATCTTTGAAATGGAATTATGACCTTTTAATGAAAATATCCTTGATTTAATAACTATACCTTTGACATCTGCTTTTGCTCTAGAGGTGGGCTTCATACCATCTACAGTGTCCTTTCTTGCTTCCTGCTCCATTCTTCCTTCAGTGTTCTTTCTTGCTTCCTGCTTCTTTCTTCCTTCAGTGTCCTTTCGTGCTTCCTGCTTCTTTCTTCTGTCAGTGTCCTTTCTTGCTTTCTGCTCCTTTTTCCCTTCAGGATCATTTCTTGATTCTGGGTTGGGTTGGGTTAAAAAACAGAGACAGAAATTTATAAAAAAATAAGAGAAATTATCATTGGTTTACAAGAATACAATGGCCAGTAGTTATTGCAATGAAGATGATTTTCAGCTTTAATATGATCACAATGTGAAATTTGGACAAAATACATAATGTAACCTAATTATACAAAAGGTTCTGGGGACCAAGGAATTGCCTTATGTTGAAACCTTGTTATATCATGTGTTAAAATATATATACTACAAAAAACTTGAACTTGTTTTGACAAGTTTGTTATAACCTTTTTATTTTATAGGATACAATCTTTGAAATGGAATTATGACCTTTTAATGAAAATATCCTTGATTTAATAACTATACCTTTGACATCTGCTTTTGCTCTAGAGGTGGGCTTCATACCATCTACAGTGTCCTTTCTTGCTTCCTGCTCCATTCTTCCTTCAGTGTTCTTTCTTGCTTCCTGCTTCTTTCTTCCTTCAGTGTCCTTTCGTGCTTCCTGCTTCTTTCTTCTGTCAGTGTCCTTTCTTGCTTTCTGCTCCTTTTTCCCTTCAGGATCATTTCTTGATTCTGGGTTGGGTTGGGTTAAAAAACAGAGACAGAAATTTATAAAAATAAGAGAAATTGTCATTGGTTGACAGGAATACAATGGCCAGTAGTTATTGCAATGAAGATGATTTTCAGCTTTAATATGATCATGATGTGAAATTTGGACAAATACATAAAGAAACCTCATTATACAAAAGGTTCTGGGGACCAAGGAATTGCCTTATGTTGAAACCTTGTTGTATCATGTTTTAAAATATATATATATATATATATACAAGTACTACAAAGAACTTGAACTTGTTTTGACAAGTTTGTTATAACCCTTTTATTTTATAGGATACAATCTTTGAAATGGAATTATGACCTTTTAAAGAAAATATCCTTGATTTAATAACTATACCTTTGGCATCTGCTTTTGCTCTAGAGGTGGGCTTCATCCCATCTACAGGTCCAGTTGCAATCCTTCTGACAACATACTGCTGCACGTAATCTTTGTTGGAGCATGCCTGCTTGCCCTCTTCGCATCCATTGCAGAAACATGAGAGTTCTCTGACTTTGATGACATTAGGCCGAACAGATAAGATGCTGTGAAGACGTCGTGTTCCCTGAATTGTTTTCAGTGCTTGTCGTTTCCTGTCTCGATCTATCTTCTCAATCCAGAATGCTTTCCTACAGAAATGGGTGCATTTACTGCCATCATCCTCTTGTTCCTTAGGTAGGGTTGCCGTGCGTTCGATGAAGTTGAAGAAATCTTTGGCATTAGCGATGATCTCTGTGCCAGACATGACTGCATCCGTAGCTAATCGCTTCACCACGCCACTCTCTCCATCACTGGGTCCTTTGCCATGCCTGCTGCCAAAGTATTCATGTTGAAACCCAAGTTGGTGGTCCTCCTTTCCATAAGAAATGTCAAGGAATGGTCCACGGGACTTGTATTGGCAAGCTGCCCCATCCGAGAACCGAATGATCCTGTTGATGTTCGGAACCTTCTTCTTGATATGTTCCACAGCAAAGGAAGTGAACTGCTGTACTGCATTGAAGTCATGAACATTGTCCTTCGTAATCATGATCATTGACTCTGTTACAGTTTCTGTGCAATCAGGGCATTTATAATACCCAACAATGGGGTGTATTGTTGCAGAATCGTGTCCCCAGTGCACAGCCTGCACTTCATCCTGAAATCTGCACGAATAGTTTTCCGCAAAGTCTAATACCATTACCACACTTCTGCTTGGTGGAGACTTTGACACCCGCAAGAATTCCCGACTCTGCCAAGATGCCGTGAATAGGTGCTCTGAGAGTGCTGCTGCTTCGATCTTCAACTCTTGCAACATCTCCTCCAATGGGCCTTCTTTTCTCCCTAGAACCATTCTTGATGTCTTCTTCCCATTTTCTTCCTTGGTCTCTCTTGCCCATTTTTTCCATTCCACATTTCCCTTATGCTTCAGCACATCCAGATCCAACACTGCATCAAGCTTTGATGTGCCACAATTCCCACACTGTCTCTGGATGCAGGGTAGCTTGTGGAATGGCTGGTTGTCTGCCCTCTCGCATAGGGTTGCAGCATTAAAGTTGTAAATGTCCTTGAAGATGGAATGATTTGCCAGTTTGTTGATGGCTGCCATTTTTAGTTCCACATTTTGACAGTATTCACACAGACAACCTCTGTAAGTGATCAAATGTCGGTGCTTGACATGGGTGGGCTTCAGGGCTGCAAACGTAGACAGCCCAACTTTCATTGCAGGGTTTTCCTTCTGGAACTTTGCAAACAAACCCCTCACTGTCATCGTCAGGAAGGCGCATGCTTTTTTAGATCTTTTGCTTACGAATTTCTTGTCCGGGAGGGTTGTAGCATTCTCTTGGTAGAATCTCTGGACAGTGTCCCTCGTTTCTGCTGGTATTTGGGAAGGGCGACTATGTGGTTTACATGTTGATTTTGGTCGTAGACATTTGGATGTAATCCCCAGATTCTTGCACAAGACCGTCTGGCATTTGTATTTTCTGCAAATGCGCTTGGACGGTATCATATGACGTTTTACCATCAAGTCTGTTTTCTTCCTGCTCTTCCGCATATTGCGTATCTTCTCTGCCACGGATTCATGAATAGCCTGTGCAGTCACATCTGTCTTAATGCCCTTTTCCTGAAGCAGATGTTTCTTCCTCGGGGATGCTTTATGCACAAGATCTTCAACTGTATCTGTATATATCTCTGGATCTGTAGATAGGGCAGACCTTGCACGGATGAGACTTTGCCGCCTTGCATCTCCTGATCTTATATTCAGTCGTCTCTTCTCCTTCTCCATCTGCTCTTGGGCTTCTCTTAGACGTTTCTCCTCTTCTTCATGTCGTTTCTTCTCTGCCCTTGCTTCAATTATCTCTTTCTTATGTTGTTGAATTAGCTTTTCTTGTCCAATGAGCAATTCCTTTTCTTCACGTCGCTTCCTACGACGTCTGTCCAAGATTTCTTGCCTTTTCTCATTGGAGAGACGATTTCTGTACTCCCTTTTCTTTGCTGCGTTTATTTCTTTTCGCTTCGCCTCCTTATCTGACTGAGCTCTTGTCATTTTCACTGGTTGTTTACCTTTTTCTGCCTTCTTCTTGGCTTCTTCCTCTTTCAGTTTTCTCTTGGATCTATATTCTCTTTGCTGTTTTGCTCTATGAGCCAGGTTACCTTTCTTCTCTACCTCATTTCCAGGTTGATCAAGGTATTCACGTTTTTCTGCCCGGTTCTTTCTTTTCACAAGAGCTTCATACTTCAGGTAAGCTTGATACTTCATTGGATTTTGGACTCTTAAATGTGTACGCCAATGAATTTTCTTGCTGTGTTCATGGTTGTTTTCATCACCGTTTTCATTACGGTCTTCACTACCCTCTGCTGGACAAAATGCCCTCAATTTCAGATGAAAGGGTGGCCTTGGCTTAGATGTTGATTTAGCTTTAGAAGGCATGTTTGTTGGTTTCTGTAATCAAAATAAAAATTCAAAATAAAAGGAGTTTTATCTAGTATGCTATTTTTCTTGGCTATAATGTTCACCGAATGGACACTACATGCAATGCAGACTTTTACGAGAAAAGGGTAAATGAATACAAATAAATGAATCATTACAAAGAAAGAAAAAGAAAAAAAGAAAATCTAAAATCCAAACTAGTATGACTAAGACGTCCAAACTATGACTAAGACGTCTAAACAACAACAATACACCATGAAAGATTATTATAGTATAATATTATTAAGTTCGAAAAATGAAACATGCTTTTTGAGCTGCTTTTTGGGTCTGATTCCGCTGGTTTTACGGGTTGTCAAGTGAAACATAACACGTATCGCTATATGTGGGACTATTGTTAAAATATTTGAGATTTTGGGCGAATATTCTGGAGAAACATCGCTAAAAAAGGAATATGGAGGCATCTGAATATGAGGAGAAACTATCAATGGACGGAATTTTACCGTTGGAATAATTGCTGGAAGAATTGTTTGAGGAATTTTAAGACGGTTTTGTTCCGAAGAAGGCACACATTTATTTACTATACCGTTACTACATCGGACACAAGTGTTCCTCACCGAAGAGTAGCATCGGGGCTAAAAAATGCCAGTATCTTTTCCTAAATACTTTAAAGTCTCTTTTACCGTAGTAATCCTTTGTTTTATAGATCTAGGTTTAATACAAGGATGGATTGTGAAACTCTTCGATTTTCATGCATTTACTGCTCACATTACGGAAAACTAACAAATACCGCCGATTTCAACCAGCAGACACCACTCTTGCGTGGTGTCCAAACGAGGGTACGGGCAGTAAGAAAGGCTGAAAAGTCGAGCTACTTCATCAAAAATACAAGAATTTTTACAACAGTCGATAGAGTGGAGTACTTCAAAGAAAAAAATAAACCTTACCGTTTACAGCAGTTTTAGAGTGGCTTCCCTAAGTCATCGATTTGCTCACCGATGCTTCAAACCTTTCCGACTCTACCGGTGACTCGCAGAAGGACGCCATATTGTCAAAGTGAAAATTTCAGCTTCGCACCATGGAAACGGAGCCGAATGAGCTATTTATATCAACCACCATGACTCATCGAGATCTTGCCGGACTGATCGATTCTGATGAGGGGGGATATTTTTAATGACACTGGTTTCAATTTACCGATCCTTCTTTTTACCGCATGGACACCACGTCGGTGACTCGTATTTCTGAATGATGATACTTAAAAATGCTTGATAGTATCCTGATTTCATTTATCAAATATTACTGGCAAGAAAAATACCTCATTATGGACAATAAGATTTACAATTTCAACTATCCCATATAAGGAACATTGGCTCAAAGTACCGACACGACGTATAAATTATTAGTGGACACCGCCGTAGTGGCGGTATCGATGACTTTGGGAAGTCTGCTATTAAAAAATGTTTGGCGAATTCAATCTTTCTCGACTTTGATTATATAGATGAAGTTAGAATATGTATTTGCTGATTGTTACCGGAGGTAAGGAATTTGTAATTACTTTGAAATAAACAGTCAAAATATTTTTATTTTCATGTCACAAATTTTCATTAGAAAATGGGGTTGGACACTAACATATTATGTTCATTTTTTCATAAAAGGAGCAGCGTGTATGTTTGAAAATTTACACACAGGAAGATTATCATTATGTGTATCAAACAAAACATCCATCATTGCAAAGTGTTTGCTTAACGAGGAGTTATACTTGGTTTTATGACCGTCGGTGGTGAATTTCCTTAAAAACCCCAACTTCGTGGACAGACCCACATGTAATATTTATTTAAAACATAATCATCAACATGCCTCTTTCAGCTATTTTCATAAGGGCTTCAACATGAGTTCCCTAAATCATACAATCAAATAAAACATAGATCTAATTGACACAATAACTGAAATATGTCAAAACTCAAAGGCACATACAGGTCAATCATAATTATACATTAATAATATCCAACAATATCGCCAGTAGGAGTTTAATTTAAAGAGAGACTAATACTTAGTTTGAAAAACTAGCCTTGCTTTTATAATGTCACATTTGATTTGACCTTTCCCCTACAGAACATGTCTTTTTTATCGAAAGAAATAAAGATTAATTATCCAAATATGGCAAAACCTACTTCAACACTAGTAGAGGGAGTCGAAGATAATCTCCTTTCCTCTTTTATAAGGGCCGTGATCTTAACCTTTTTAGATATAGAGTACTCTCTTGTGGCCGCCTCGCCCCACAGCACCACCTCCATGCTGCTTCCACCCCTTTCTATCTGGATGGACCTTCTTGAGTACTCCGGTGTCGTTACACACCCTCCTACCTAAATATATATCAAGATGAATGATAAAAACAAATTAAGTTGAAAATAATACTTTAATCCACATTATTTAACAACATCATTTATAACTGAATACCTCCACACATTTTGTACCACAACATTTTACAACAGCAAAATACAAACCTCAATGATGTTTCCCTCTACCTTTTTACCTTCGCCTTTTTATTGCACTCCTACCCCTGACCTCTGACACAGAAACACTTTCCGGTTTGATATAAGTGTCAACCAACTCTTTGTTAAATCCTACCTGTCAAACCATTCAGTGTCTCTCGCATGAACGCATAGTACCCACTTGATTTTGTTCCTGTTGGAAGGGCATTTCGTTTTCTTTTGTTCCCCCCTCTCCTCCAGTATGCTATCCATTTCTAGATATTGTCAGATAATTACGGTGCAGTAATATTTCTCATCTGGGCCGAAAGTTGGACGTACAGACCAATACCAAAGTTTCCATCCTCTTGGTTATTATCCTTAGATAATTTGTACCAAGTCACTTTCGGTGTTTCCGTCAGCAACAGCTACTAATCTATCTATTGAATCGGTTATGGTTCATTGGGTCGGGTCTCCCCTACAATTCCCCTACCCTAAGGTGTGGTATGTGTCTATTCTAAATGTATGCTGTAGATATGTGTATAGGGTGTATAAAAGACAGTGTTGGTCTTGATGACCAGGGCCTCAAGTGTGTCATTCCTTGTGTACGACTCCTGGGGGTGATCAACATCTAGGGGTTGCCGAGTTTGCCTATCTTCCTGTGGAAGAAGAAGAAAAAGGAGTTTCTAACTAAATTCCCTGTATGGACCACCATGTAACCAAACAGTAACTTTTGGAATTTACACCGGACCATGACACAGAGATATGGAGATTCCAGTCTAAGAGGTTTCCCATTGCTACTAAGAAGGAGCAGTAAGTGGACTAAGAAGGAACAGCAAATGAACTATGAGAAATTCCACGTGGAGAATTTCTAACGAACTGGTTGACACTATTGTCGATTGGGCAAGGTCCAAAATGATCTGTGACACCTGGGCATTGTTGTTTGTTTGAATGTCTGTAACTGGCCCATCCATATCAATCCAAAGAGTGTTCACAGCATCATGTGCCAAGCTTTCATAGGTGTTCTGTAAGATACCTTGGTGCCACAATGCCATCGGTGACTGATTGTTCATGGTCCTGAGTCCATGATGGTTCCATGTAGAAACAAACTGATCCAAGGACTGTTGGATTCGAGGCAAGAAAACTCTATGCAAACAGAGTAAATGTGTTTTGTTTCTTTAAATGAGGATACCACTATCCTCCATGTATTAAAACACTACTTTATAAAATGAAGCAATCACTCAATTTGTTTCACCCCATAGTCTCTCTATTCTCTGGTTGTGAACACTTCGTCCGGTTATAAAACTACCTCGACCGGGGCATCTGTTGTCTATCATAAACCGTGCCACGTCCACATTTTCCATCCCATGGTCAGCACTTACCCTTGAAGGTATTCCAAGGGTGGTGGCCAATTCCACACTGCCATCTTCATGAATTGATACCATCTTCATTTCTGATATCAATTCTTGTTTGTTTTCTACACAAAAACACAAAAAGAAAATCATATTGTAACCAGCTGTACTTACTGTAGTACTTGACAGGTTGTGTTGTTCGTAGCAACTTTCAAGTACGTTAGGTATTATGATACAGTAGCTCTGCTTGCTCCATCAATGCAGCCATGCAAAATAAACCGCCACATGAGAAATCAGTCATGAAATATTTTGGTTTCCAGTTTATTTGCTCCCTCTTCATCCAATCTTGTATGGTCTCCAGTCCTTGCTTAATAGCAGCCTTCGTCTCATATTGGACCATGAACTCTGCCACCACACTGTATCCAACATTGGTCTTCATAGCTAAGAAGAAGAGAGGCAGAGCATACTCTTGTCGTTTTGTACATGGCATCCAGTAGGCATAGGTCATTGCCATACCTAGAAGAAAATTAAATGGAATACATTTTAACATCTACTAGGGACACAACATCACAAACATTAACCTTTCTTTTATAATGTCACATTTGATTTTAACCCTTTCCCTACAGAACATGTCTTTTTTACAATGGCAACATTTATGGCTCTATAGGTAAGCATCATACATGAAATATCTAAATCTAACTCGGTGGCATCATCATCTTTACATCAGCATTACACTTATCTACTAATATTTATTGAGTAAACTTTGGTGACAGTAACTATTTAGCCTGATAATTCCAAGTTTCTTTTTAAATGGCTTCACTTTCAGCTGCTCATTCAGCTGCTCCAGCTCAGTGATGTTGGAGACTGGCAGGTGAGCCTCCTCTCCCATGTCCATGATGTCTGCCTCAACACTCTGGCCTTGAGTATTCAGCAGACTTTGCATCAAGGTGGCATTCTGCCGACCCTGTTGTTTTATTTCATTCAGCAATCGGATATTGTTGTGGGCGTGGAAGGCGTAGACGGCCTCTGGGCGCTAGTTTTATTCCGTATAGACTGACAAACTGGAAAGGCAGGAGGTGAGTGCAGCTTTTTCACCCCCGTGACAATATCGACCGATTCTTCTTCGCTGCTTTCTAGATTACTTATCAAGAGGACGTATTCCTCACGACATGAATACTTACGCAATATAACATCTGTAATATCCATTTTGTATATTCCGACCTTGAACTTTGATTCAACTTTGACGCAAGTTAATCGCTTTATATTGCTTTCATAATCTGAGCAACAACCTCCTTCTCGGTTGCTCCACCAAGCGTACCCAGAGGTTAAATCTGTGATATAAGGAGATATAAGCAGTGATTCTTCTTCCCTGCTTTCTAGAAAGCGTTCAGGGGGTCTGTTGAGAGAATTACCTGTAATTCCATCATCCTGAACCTCGCATGCAAACCAAGGCTAGGTGTCTTGTGACAAGTCGTGCCGCTGTACCACACTTGCAGCGTCCCAGTGGGGCCATCTGCAACTCTGTCTCCCATCGTTCTTCCCCAGCCACTTGGAGGAGACCACTTCCACTTCATTCGTGTCAAGATACTCAACTATGACATATTTATCCATGGTCTGAAATAACAAAATTATCTAGTACACATGAACAAAAGAAGGTTCACTTTCATTGTTGACAAAAACATTGGTAACCTGAAACGCATCCTCCTTGCATAACCAATAAAACAATGCTTGTTACCCTTAATCTCAACCAAGAGCTCAGAATCCAGTGGCACGGTTTCTTCTTCGGAACTCTTGTTGGGCGCCACCCTCAGCTCGCACCCTTTTCCTTTGGCCAAGGTTTCTTGGCCGAAGACGACCTCCAGGAGACTTACTAGGAGAGTCTTCTTCGTCAGGCCTTTCCTCAGGCACTCACAGTGTACACAACGGTTACCAGTTCCCCACGTTCAGCAGAGGTGATTGCGCCGACCTGTTTTTTCCCCTTCTCGGTCACAACAGCAGCAGGCTTTTGAACTGTGGTGCGCCCAGTTTCGTCTGTGTTGTAGATTTCACTTGGTGAAAACTTGTATTTGTCCATCACCCGGGCAAGATTGTCAAAGAACTTATCAACAACTGGTCGGTTGAACGCAGTGGCACGTCCTAAAGATGTGGCCTCTGGATGCCTTATTGCCAGGTTTTGTCGCTTCTTGAAGCCTAACCACCAATCCTGGCCTGCCTTTTTCTCACGGTCCCAGCTGGCTGGCACATCAACATTGTTTCGTTTTGCAAACTCATATGCCAATGTACAGCACCTGTTCACTGACAGACCATGAAACATATCTGATAACTGTTTCACATGATCTCCCAAATCTGTCTCCATGTCAGGAGAAAACACCTGATGCCGCAAGGCGACGGGTGCATAGGCAGTCCCTTGTTGTCCATCTCTCCTTTCAATATAACGTTTCAGCATCATTCGATCAATGGCAAAGTCCTTAGCTGCACTCCGCACACTCTTTCCACCAGCAACAGCATCAGCCGCTCGTTCCATAACATCGCGGGGAGTTTGTCCTCGATTCGTCTTTCGCTTGTAGTTACGCATTTCTCATGTGCTTCTGAAAGATAATAATGGATATAAAATATATGTTTAGTACAAAGTCCATCTCAAAACATTGTTATTCAATTCTAAATTCCAAAATACAATGCGAATTGTTTTGTAATACTCATCCAACACTATTTAGTAAGTTGGTCAGACCCTACGGGGTAAGTTGAGCTCAACTTGCCCCATAGGGTCTGGCTCAACTTACCCCAGTCTGAACTTTCTGAGATATCACCACATACACACATTTTCTATGCATTCATTGTGTAAAAGGCACATGTACATTTGACAAAGCGCTTCGGCATGTCAATTATATCTTTGGCGGTAACCCATTCGTCGTACTTTGAAGCAGCCCATACCTCATCCAGGTAGTGAACCTTCACAGATAGTTCGTTATTTACATTTTTTGAGTCCGTAATTTCCAGTTCAAATAGTATGGTTGTAGACCATGTCATGGGTTTCAGTCCTTTCCGTGATACTGTTTTCCTCCTTTAAATTTGATGGCTCCCTCCGAGCCCACGCTCCTTGCTTCTTCCTGCACATTTGTAAGGTTTTCGATAGAAACCTTTCTTTCATCGATCCAGTAGACGATGCAAAACTTCTTCATTCTGATAGATAAAAACTTAATCTCAACCAAGAGCTCAGAATCCAGGGGCACAGTTTCTTCCTCTGAACTCTTGCTGGGGGCCACCCTCAGCCCGCAGGCTTTCCCTTTAGCCAAGGTCTCCTGGCCGAAGACAACCTCCAGGAGACTCACTAGGAGACTCAGTAGGAGAGTTTCCTTCGTCTGGCCTTTCCGAAAAGCTTGCCGCTTCAATACATCGGTTAGGATGGGTTTCCCCCCAGGGTAAAGGGGCACCAAGGTCTGATGTGGAAAAAGATAAAGAGAATGAAGTACTTGAAGTTCTTTTTTCAACTGGCACATGAAATACCAACCAACCAACACAATTTACCCTAAACCCACTGGTGCTTAATAAGCCTACACGTACATGGTTTCATGACTTTTCTCCTTGGGAGTTTGACTTTTGGTTCCCTGGTGCCTTCTTTCTTTGGTATCCCTCCCATTTGACAAGAAGTGAAGTCCTCCGCCAGGTTCCTTTTTTATTCGCAATATTTCCTCAACCAAGTACTCTTTCTCTGTGAGAATGATATTTGATTTAATAAAGATACAGATTTGTATGCATGCATGTCTAGCTCTAACTCATTTAATGAGATAGTGATGTCCTCCTTTCCCCTTAGAATGTACAACTCAAGTTCTGAAATTGCCACTGGTCCTTTATCCAAACTCCTTCTTGAGGATTATAAGTCACTTTTCGCCTATTCATTCTTCTTGTCTTTTCTTTTTGGCAAGATGAAGTAGTTATATGATACACAACACTTGACTTCAAGTTTTTGTTATTTAGTGACATGCGTGCTGTCCCACACTTCGAATTGATTTTCTCGTTAAACTCCTGCGTAGTCATGCAAGGAAGTCCGGAAGTTGTCCTGAATCGCTTCAGCACACACTCTGGGGGAAAAAAAAGAGAAAATGTTAATGACTTTAATACATCATAAAGAGAAGAGATGTATTCACATATGACATATTTGTAACACAATTTCTGTTATGTCAATAATTAAAAGTGATATGCTACTGGGAATTCATGGGGAAATGAAATAGTACACAATTGGCAAGGTGGTCCTTATTTGTACACATCAGCCCGTTCATCATGGGAGCCCCATGGACAAATCCCTGGATGTATCCCTGATAATTTTCCTTGTCCCAATATGTGCATTTCAATTCAACAAGGTTCCCTTGTGATTGCAAACTGGCTTATTGATGGCACAAAAACAAATTGGAATGAAATTTATCCACCCCCTGGAAAAGGCTGTCCATTTACATGTATCTGACATTGCACCATGTACACTCTTTACCTTTGATTTGCTGGATTTTGTCTTTGTCAAGGGTCTGCCGGTCGTTCTGGCCGACTTTGTTGGCAGCAACCCTTAACCCACAGGAGTTCCCATGGGCAAGGGTTTCATTCCCAAATACCACATCCAGGAGGGCGTATAGAAGTAAACCTGGAGAAGTACCCTTTGTAAAGGCTGCTGATTTCTTGCCAGGAATGAGGAGTTTCTTTCCTTCTGGGAAAAGTGGAACTGGGTACTAACTGTTGTCGACCTCCTGATCCCTTTTGCCGACCTCCTGATCCCTTTTGCCGTTTAAATGCCTTCCAAAGTCTAACCAATTCACATTTTAATGGCTTTAAACAATTAAGACATCCCCTATCTTGAGAAATCTAGTAGTCAGAAAGTATTGGTGCGAGTATGTTTTGAACATTTTTGTCTGTCAGATACCCATCAATGTAAACTGAATAGGAAACTATCAGAAACATCAATTTCAATAAATAAGGGAAGCTTTCATGTTCATGAGCATGGTTGGGAATGGCATGTACAGGACTAAGTTGCAAATTCATATGAAATTGGTATCCCCTGTGCAACAGTTGTTTGAATCCTTCACTTGTGTACTCTTCAAGTGGTCGCCTCTCTGACATCCAATATTTCAATGTGCCCGGTTCAATATGAGCGAAATCTCTCTCCTCGTTGCAGACTCTCCGATGCCATCCTTCACCCATAATGCAATCAAAATCGGACAGAGAATTAATCACAAAATGGGATTTCCTTGTGCTGTTGTTTATGATTCTTAGTTCCTCAAACAAACTTCTTTGTATTGGAAGTTCGATGTTCACGCCGGAGTCGCCTGAGTTCCTTCTGAACCTGTGCAGCCGCCTCAACGGCTTTGACCTTCTGAGTCTTGTTGGTGGTGGCTTTGGTGGTGGCATATTCCCAGGCCTGATAAAAACCCGATTTAAATCGGTTTCCCGATTTTTTTTATTTTTCCCGATTTTTTCCCGATTTTTTTTCTTCTTCCCGATTTAAAAAAAAAAAAAAAAAAAAAAAAAAAAAAAAAAATCATTTTTTTTTTTTTTTTTTTTTTTTTTTTTTTACCAATTTTTTTTCCTTCCCTATTTTATCCTGATTTTCCCGATTTCCCTCTTATTATCTCTATTCTTCCCTATTTTTCCCCCAATTTTCCCCCCAATTTTCCCAAGTTTGTCTCAATTTTCTTACTCGAAAGGGGGGAATGTTGTTAGATGCCGTTTTTTCCCCGCGAATCGTCTTTTTTTTTTTTTACTCGAGGGGGGCGTGGTTGAGGGGAAAACAAAAAACCTATTTTTTTTTTAGTGCTCACTATCACCCCTGTATTCCACACTGCCATCTTCATGAATTGATACCATCTTCATTTCTGATATCAATTCTTGTTTGTTTTCTACACAAAAACACAAAAAGAAAATCATATTGTAACCAGCTGTACTTACTGTAGTGCCTTGACAGTGCTTTGGCAGGAACACATGCGTTGTACTATGAAGCAGCCCATACCTCATCCGGGTAGTGAACCTTTACAGATAGTTTGTTATTGACATTTTATGAGTCAGTGATTTCCAGTTCAAATGGTATGGTTGTAGACCATGTCATGGGTTTCAGTCCTTTCTGTGATATTCTTTTCCTCTGTTGAATTAGATTTCTCCCTCCGAGCCCACGCTCCTTGCTCCTTCCTGCACATTAACAAGGTTTTCTATAGAAACCTTTCTTTCATCAATCCAGTAGACGATGCAAAACTTCTTTATTCTGATAGATATAAACTGCAAAACTAAGCCACCCAACTAAAGAATTGAAATCTTTTCACAATCTCGTAAATGACGTAAACTATGTACTGCGTGTATTGTCATGAAGATGATAAAGTTTTACAACCTTGCACTTTCGATCTCTTTCAAATTTTGGCTGAGAAAGGAAGTAATTTCCATATCAGCACGTAGGGCCGGGGAATATTTAAGCGATATCAAACCACCAAAATATCTTCAGGACCTTTCCGTGATAAGCTTTTCCTCCGTTGAATTTGATTTGTCCCTCCGAGCCCATGCTTCTTGCTCCTTTGTGCAGGTTAAATTTTTTATTATAGTATTTACTTTGCTCTTATAACAAACCGCAGTCCCAACGAGGGAGAATCAAAGAAACAAAAATATCAACGAAGCGAAACTTCTCTTTCAATGTACAAATCAAGTTCAGAAATAGCCACTGGTCCTTTTCCCAAACTCCTTCTTGACCATTATTCATTCCTACATGTACGTGAATCTTCACGAAAACTGTCAGTATTGCCAATATAAAATCTTAAACATTGAAAAGTTGTCCCCAGTAGACAGTGCCCGTCATGGGTCATCGTACCCAGATACCAGCAGTATGCCTCCCAACCATGGTCAATGGTGAAGCGGACAACTGCCGACAGCTCCTTCGGCACCCTCCCGACTGGGTGTCCACAAATCTGCCGTACCGTCTGCTGGCGACCTGACGTAGTCGCTGGCCTTATCTCCTTGTCATACAACTCTGGAGCAAGGTCAAATAGCTTGGGAGCTACCACCAAAGTTGCCGCTTTATCGAGCTTATTTCCCGACTCAGGCCTGCAACGCATCAGGAATTGTGATTCTGGGTAAGGCCTCTTCTTGAAGTGGTGATATATCTGGAAAAACAAATATAAATAAAAGAGAAAAGAACTTGCTAAGTTCAACCTTGGAAAATAAAAATAAAAGATTAAAAAATATGTTGTCATTGTGTGTGATTGGCAAGCAGCGAAGGAGTTATGCATTTCATGAGTGATTTAAGACAAGGAAAATCGGAAATAGAAAACGAGTGAATAAGAACATGTATTTCTCATTACTTACCAATTGACTGTTAAAGTGAAACTTATCACTGCCTTCCCTGGAACACCCCAGCCCCTCTCCTTTACAAGTTTCTTGGTTTCTTGGTTTCTTGGATGTTCATGATGTAATAAAGCCCTCAATTGAATTGGAAAAAGAACTTTAAAAGACAAGTTCAGATTTTGCGGTGAAATTCTAGTGACGCGGGGTCGGTTCCTTCTTCACTTCCAAAAACTCATTGACCATTCTCCTTGGGAGTTTGACTTTTGGTTC